GGGCCTGACAGGACCTCAGGGTGTAGATGGATTCAGAACTGAACTTCGGCAGAGCCCCTAGCTGGTTGTGTAGGGTCAGGGCTTGTGTTGAGTGAACAGTTGTAGAAGTTGAGTCTGAGGAGGAGGAGCTGGTATCCTTCTGTGATGTCAGTGTGAGTGGATTAAGAAGCACCTGGTGGATTGGTGGAGCACAGTGGGCGTGTCTGTGCATGACTGACACCTGGGCAGCAGACTGAGGAGGAAGCCGGCTCCCTGGATGTGGGTGAAGCCAATCAATAGGTTTGCACCTGAATGGAATAAAAAGGGGAACAAGGAAGCCTGCCCTTTGCTTCTTTGGAGGAGCTCCACTTTTCACCATCACCTTGGTGGTCCATCTGCAGTTCCTTCAGCCTTCTAGCCCAGACCGGCACAGACTCACACGGCCTTTGCAGTGCGTGTCAGCCCTCTGACCCTCCCCTGCAGCCCCCAACTCTCAGCATGTAGACAGCCATTGTGACTCTTCCGCCCTGACTCCACAGCCACTGTTAGCTTATTTAGTATCATACATTTATTTTGTATTAAATCTGTTCCCCTAGTGAACCCTAACTGATACAGGTTTTGGTGCCAGAGAAGTGGGGTTGCTGCTGTGATGCTACCTAGCCATGTGATTCAGAGCCTTTGCAATTGCTTTGTGGGAATTTGGAAAGGTTGAAGATGCAGCCCTGGAATGCTATGCGCTGAGCCTGATGGGAGAGTCTGGTCATAGCTCAGAAGACCAGAATGCTGACAGAAACAGCCAGTAAAGAGCAGGCTCAGGAGGTACCTGGGCATGGGTCTGTAATCCCAGCACTCAGGAGGCTGAGGCATGAGTATTGGAGGATCTCTGAGTTCCAGGCCAGTCTATGCTACATAGTGAGTTCAAGCTCAGCCCAAACTATATAGTGAGACCCTGTCTCAAAAACAACAAAAAAAGAAAAGAAAAAGAAAGCTCCAGGGCACCGTGCTGGAGGAGAGCTGCAGCCTAGGGCATCGATTCGCAGGGATTGGTTCACAGTGCTCAGCCGTTCAGGCACCCAGAGGCCCCTGCAGCTGTGATGTAAAAGGGCCTGGCCACTCCTAGAGCTGGTTGCAGACCCTGGCGCCAGCCACATGGTGCTAGTTTTACAACTTGCACCCAGATTTCAGAAGGCCTGGGAAGCCAGGCAGCGTGTCCCTGAGAGGGCCATATGTGAGCCGTGGGTATGCGCAGCCCAAGTGCAGTAGAGACCCCAGGAGTGTGGATCGGCTGAGGAAAGCCTCATGGAATGAGCAAAGCCAGAGCAAAGCCTCACGGAGTGAGCAAAGCCAGCCCAAGAGAGGAGGCCTGAGGGCTGCAGCCACACAGTGCCACAGAGCCAGGCCCAAGCTCCCCCTTGGAGCTCAGGTCTCACCACGGCTGGCCCTGTGCGCTGGGCCAGGGACCTGGGGTTCAGGGTTTGCCCCGCCGAGTCCTGGTCTTCCTGGGTCACAGGAGTTTCTCGTCCCCACCACTGCTCCACCCTTTTGGAGTGGAGTGTTGGTGCTGTGCTGTTGTGTGTCAGCACAGGACACACGTATTTATACGTACATCTTTACTTAACGTTTGTAAGGCTCACAGCTAAGAGTTTGCCTGAGGCCTCAGATTTTGGACTTTTCAGCCATCCTGGGCTTTGGTGACTTGTCAGGGTGGACTAAATGCATTTTGCATAAAGGGATGTACATGAGTCTTTTGGGGGCCAGGCAGGAATGTTATGGTTTACACCTAGATGTCCCCCCAAAGCCTCATGGGGTTGTAGTGGGGCTTTTGGAAGGTGGTTGGATTCCGGCGGAATTATAGCTGGCTTGCTTGTAGGAGGCAGGGCCTGGCCCTGGGGGCGTGGCCTGGAAGGTTGCAGCTCCCTTCCTGGCCCCTCACTCTGCTACCCGGTCATGAAGAGCTTTCTTCCGTCCAGGTCCTCCCACCATGTCTTGTGGACGCTAAACATGAGCACAATAAACCTCCTCTTTGGTTTGGTATTGTGTCTCACAGTGAGGAACATGGCTAAGACACCTTCGCATTACCGGACACGTGTAAAAGGTTTCTAGCCAGGTGTGGTGGTGCACCTGGGAGATGGAGGCAGAATGATTGCAAATTTAAGACTTTGTTCTTTTCAGCCTTTTGTTGCTTTTAAAGCTATTTTAGATCCTCTACATTTTCACATAGAGGTTTTTCTTTTTTTTTTTTTTTGGTGCTGGGGATCAAACTCGGAACCTTGCGCTTGCGAGGCAGGCGCCCGAACCACTGGGCTAAATCCCCGGCCCCTCCACAGAGAATTTAGTATCTGCTTGTCATTCTGTCTAGCAAACTGCTTGGATCCTGTTGGCTTTGGGTAGGATCTGGCTCCGTTTGAGAACTGAGGTCTGGAGTCTCCTCACTATCTCCTTCTGGTCTTAACTTTCATCAGATGCATCGATTCGGGCTTCCTGCTTTCACAGCTGCTGTCAGCAGTCTATAGAATCTCAGTTCCTACTATTCCTTGCTACTTTATAAATGAGAATTGTCTTCCGCAGATTGAGTTTGGCTCCTGCACACTCCCTAGAACTCTCTTACTAGATACACTAGCTTAGGGCCGGGGATTTAGCTCAGTGGTTTTGCCACCTGCCTCGCAAGCACAAGGACCCGAGTTCTATCCCTGGTACCAAAAAAAATAATAATAATAATAATAGATACACTCGCTTTTTTGTAGATTCTTGTTGACTTTCCACATAGAAAATCAGGAAGTGCAGGTGCAGTTTCACTCATTCTGTGTCCGTCTTCCTGCTTCTGTTTGTGTCTTGCGTTATTCCCTGTGCCTCCAGTGTGTCAGCGTGTCCTGTGGCTTGTTCTCCTTGAGTGTTTTACATTTGCACTGAACGTCAGTGTTGCCCAAGCGAGGAGGGTGCTGACCCTCGCCCAGCCTTGGAGCCCTCTGGGGGTAACTGCCAGGCCTCCCGTGCCCTCATCTGGGTAGGGGGACATAGGAAAGGGCAGCCCGGAAGCTCCTCGGGTGACTGCCACGGGCAGGGGTGGGGACTCGAGGCCCGCACACCAGATCACAGCCTCGGCCCCTGTGGCCTTCCTCCTGCCCACCACACCATGTCCTTGTCTGCCTGTGATGAAGACCAGAGACAGCGACGCCAGCCACCGACTGTGTCTCTTGGAGTGGAGGCTGCAGTCCAAGACCCGGCAGCTCAGAGGGTCCTCGGTGCCTCTTCCTAGAAGCCCACAGCTGGTCAGAGCCGCCCCACGGCCACTGCAGACTCTCAGCCTGTGGTGCCCACTTGTCCTTCCCAGTGGGTGCTGCGTCTCCCCTCCACCTGCCAAGTGTGCATTGTTCCATCGGGAGGGACGCTGGCTCGGTTCTTTGTCCTGTCTTCTGAGGTGACCCTCTTGCCCTGTGCTTGTGTACAGGTGCAGTGCTCTCAGGCGGGGAACCTCGCATTTGGTCGCCTTCCTTCTTTCTCCCTGGGGCAGGGCTGGCGTCCTGAGGATTGGGCTGGCTTGGTGTGAGCAGCACCAGACACCCGCCCTGGCCATGACACTGAGCCTGATGTCCCCTTTTCTTTTTCCTATCTGGCATTGAGGGGCTCCCTAATGCAACCCTTCCAGTCTCTTGGTTGAAACCAGTTCATTGATTATAGTTTCTCCCCAAACCTTATTCTTTCTTTCTTTCTTTCTTTCTTTTTTTTGGTACTGAGGATCAAATGTTTATTTTTTGAGCTGGGGTCTCACTATGTAGTTCAGGCTGGCCTTGAGCTCACTATGTATTCGAGGCTGGCCTCAAACTTGCAGAAGTTCTACTGCCTCAGCCTCCAAAGTGCTGGTGTTACAGGCGTGCTTATTTTATTTATTATTTATTTTAAGGGAGCAGAGGTTTATTTTAGCTCACAGCTTGCAGCGTTTTCAGTCCATAGTCAGCTGTCTCCAACCAAGGCAGGGTGGCATGGCAGAGGGGCCTGGCAGAAGAGGAACAGTCCATGGCAGGGCAGGCAGAAGGCAGCAAGCAGCAGCCCATTTTTATTTTTTGATGTATCAGTTTTCATGACTGCTGCTTTTCTCCGGCTTGCTTTATTCCATTTCTAATTTTAGTTGAACGCTTAGCTCATTTGTCTTTCTCTTTGTCTTTTCCCTGCCCAGTCCCCTTGTCTTCTCTTCTGAATGCCCCCCCCATGGCAATTTGCACCCATCTCTGTCCCCTGAAAGGCCGTCCACGTGCAGGCCTGAGGCTCACTCTGATCCTGAGCTGCTCGGGAGAAGGTTCCAGAACTCAGGGTGGGCGGTTCTCTGACGGTCCTTGCCCAGCTCTGTCTGTTGGGACACGAAGCTCTGTGGTTTCTAGCTCTCGGATCTGCAGTCTCAGGCCTGACCAGCTAAGTCTGGTGCTCGCTGCCTGGTGCCAGGCTGGCTGAGTCGCACACCTGCTGGTTCAGCCCGACATGCATCGTCTTCCACTTTCCAGGCTGAGTACTTGAGAATGCACACCATGCTTTCCCCTCTTGTCCACGGCCCTGCTGTCCACAGTGTGACTTCTTCATCACAAACCCCTGTCTGAGCAAGGGCCACCCCCCCATTGCTGCATCCCCACCCCAGGCAAGCCCCATGCCTGGCCTGTGGTATTTGTCCATGACCTCTGCCCTGAGTATTTGTCCTTGCTCTTTGACTTTTAGCTCTAGATTCATCCCAAAGCCATGCGTGGAATCCCGAGTTCTGCAATATTTTGGAGGTAGAAACAGCCTGTTTGCAAAGTGCTTCGGTAAATTGGACTTTGGCTGTTTTCTTCCAGCGAGGAGGGTGTGTGGCTAGGGTGCTGCTCATCGGAGTGTTGGCTCAGCCTGCATGGGGCCAGGGTTCAGTCCTGGCAGCAGAACACAGAAACGAGCGTACGGTTGCTTGTGGCATGTGCCTCGTGCCTGTTCCGTGTGTGCTGACTTCTTTATTTCGTTGCATCAAGGTGTCTGTTTTTCTGGCAGAAGTTCTCAGCCATCACCTGTGGAAATGGAGCAAGCGAAGGTGAACATGAGCAAGGAGCTGGGTCCAGACACGGCTGCCTACTGCTGCCCCGAGTGCCGGGGTGACGAGAGCTGGAGCTGCAAACACCTGGTCCGCGGCCGGGCCAAGTCCCGGAGCCTGTCGGCCTCGCCCGCCCTGGGCAGCACCAAGGAGTTCAGGTGGGCACCGTTCTGTCTGCGTGTGTCCCGCCAGAGCTGGGCTGGGAACCAGGAGGGCTGCCAGGCGGGGCCCGAGGGGCCGTGAGCCACGTGCAGGGGGGATGGAGTCTCACTGTGTAGCCCAGGGTGGGCTGAACTCGCGATCCTGCCTCAGCCTGCCGAGTGCTGGGTTACAGCGGGTTCCACCATGGCCCATGGGTGCTGCTCTTTCTTCTGCGTCGGCACACATCTACCCAGCCAGAGCCCGCGGTGACTCAGTGTCAGACCTGGCAAGGAGAGGAGGGTCCCGTGCACCGAGACGGCTGGGGGCTGGGGACAGGCAGACTGCACGTGGCCTGGGGCCCGTGGCCATCACTTGCGGGCGGTGCGTCTGCCACCTGAATGCCCAGCCGGCCACACCTGCAGTTGCCCAGTGTCACCTGTGCAGCAGCTCTGGGCCTCGGAGAGCCGCCTGACAGTGTGTGGCTCCAGTGGCTCCTGGGGTGTCACTCTCGTCTCTGGTGACATTAAACGTGACTTCTAGGTGGAAGCTTGCAGTGTAGCCTCCAGAGCAAGCTAGACTTGTAAAGTGCAAGGGGATTTGTGGTCAAAACAGTTTTTAAAAGCATGTGGGGGGCCGGGGATTTAGCTCAGTGGTTCCACCGCCTGCCTTGCAGGCACAAGGACCCGAGTTCAATCCCTGATACCAAAAAGAAAACCAAACATGTGGGCCTGGCACTGAGTTACAGTCAGGAAGAAGCGAGGTGGAGTCCTGTTGCTCAGGATGGTGATTGGACAACAGCTATGTGCTGAACACGTCAGAGCCAGTGGGAGGATTTTGAAAGCTCTCACCACAAAGAACTGCTAAATGTCTGAAGAGATAAACTTTTAACTTGATTTAAACTTTATGCAGTGTATACATGTGTCAGACATTACGTGGTACCCTGTTGATATCTGCAGCTTTCATGTTTTTTTGGTACTGAGGATTGAACTTGGGTCCTTGCACTTGTGCAGCAGGCGGTGAAACCACTGAGCTAAATCCCCGGCACAACTTTCATGTTTTTGTGTACCAGTTGAAAAACAAACCAGGCCTGTGGGGCAGTGAGGTGAACCTTTTTAGCTTTCAGTGATAACAAACTGCCTGCTGTGGTGCATGTGACATAGGTTTGCCACTGCTACTCTAGGTAAATGCAGGTCATTTCTGCAGATCAGCACTCACCGGCCTTTCAGAGATCTCACCGAGCAGAGCTTAGCGAGCTGTCTCTTCAGAACCTGTGGAAGCCCCACGCGGTGTGAAGGTTCCATCCAGCAAGGGCAGCTCAGCGGAGCCATGTGGCCAGTGCAATGCCTGGCGCACGCCGCACCGCCGTCAGTGCAGCACGTCTCACCGGCACCTGCCCCTGTACAGCGTCTGTACTGCTGGGCTCTTGGCAGAGCTGCTTCTGGGCTTTTTGTTTCCGCGGGTTTGGGGCTTTGTGTTTCTGTGAGGTTTGGCACAACACTGTTCCTTTTCACAGGACCCTGAGCCTGTGAGGTGTCTGAGGGTCAGGGGCAGCCTCTGTGGTGGCGGTGGCCCCAGTGAGAGGTGTGGAGCAGTGTGCAGGGGCCACCTGGAGGACATGGTCTGCGGGCAGTGAACCACCTTCCCGTGGCCTCTTGGGCTTCAGTAGGCAGGTCCTGTGTACACACACACACACACACACACACACACACACACACACACATTTTTTTTTTTTTTTTTTTTGGTACTCGGGATTGAACTCGGGACCTTGCGCTTGCTACGCAGGCAGTGGAACCACTGAGCTAAATCCTCAGCTCCACAGGTCCTATCCTATAATATTATTCCTCGTGATTTTTCAAAGTCTTGTAGGAATAGCTCTAGTGTGCTCATCCAGAAAGCCCTGGTGTTTGCAGCCCTGCAGCCAGGATCAGACGGGCCCACGAGGTGCCCCTGAGGCTGGAGAGCTCTTCCGTGGGCAGCGGGATGGGAGAGTACATGGGGCCACCGAGAGCAAGCGGGCTGGCAGCTCCTCACATGTGGACAGCTGTGGTGGTGGTGACCTAGCTGGGGTGGCTCTGATGGTGCTGTCCCTGGCTGCAGGCATGCTGCACAGCCCTTTGCTTGCATGTTCTGAGTCACTCCAATTCTTGGAAGTCAGGCTGTAATCCAGAGTGAACATTTCCCTTGGAATTTTAATCCGGATGATTTAGGAGAGCTGTCCAAGGCCTCAGACCAGCCATAGGTACAAAGACCTGCGGGCACATTCTGCAGGGTAGAGGCTGCCAGGCTGGGGCTGCACTCCTTTGGTTTGAAGTTGGTGCTCTTGCACAAGGACACCGGTGAGCCCCTAGACCGGGGCAGATCTGAGGGGGTCAGAGCTGATAACGTGCTGCTCACCCTGCTCCCTGGAGCCAGCATGGCCTGGGTTGGTCAGTGCCCACATGCCCTCGCTGACGGCAGCCCCTCTGCGCCCCACAGGAGAACGCGCTCTCTCCATGGACCATGCCCAGTGACCACGTTTGGACCAAAGGCCTGCGTGCTGCAGAACCCCCAGACCATCATGTAAGTGCGCCTGGCAGGTGGGTGGGCAGGCGATGTGTCCCGAGTCCTTTCGGCAAGGTCCCCTCAGGCACTTTCCGCAGCCCTAGTGCATTCAAGTGCCTGGCTGGGGCGGTGCTGCCTGCTTCTCCAGTGCTGGACAGCCTGGAGACAGCATGCGGGCCTGGGCCTGGCTCTGTGCTCTCTTCTGACGGCCAGAGTTGGGGGCTGACACATCCTGTGCTCACACACTGGCATCTCCTGATCATCTCCCAAGACTGGACGTTCACTGGCCTCATCTCGGTTCAGGCTCTTGGGTTTCCATCTTGGTTTTGCGGCACTGGGGACCAAGCCCAGGGCCTCGGCACACAGGCACTGCCTGTGGCCTTGACAGCACCCAGGAGAGGAGCTGCCTGAAAGCCAGCGCTGGCATCACTGCATCGCCCCTGGCCCGTGCTCTGTGTGGATCCAGGAGGACGACGACCGAGCTGCTTGTCCCTTGTGTACAGTGGTATAGCAGTACCTGGGCTTTATGGGGAAAACCACTAAAACAATCACTAAAGTGACCTGATGTCCTTGCTTCTGTCTGCAAACTTGGAGTTCTGTCCCCAGTTCCTGTTTCCCACCTGGCAGTGTCCTCACCACCTCCTCCAGGGGGATCCGTGCTGCCTGGGGCTCCTGCCCCGGGGTGGGTCAGCTGGACTGACTGGTGCTAGTACTTTGAGCAGAACTTTCTGCAGGCATAGTGACTTTGTGGGGACTGCTGCCCAGCGAGGTGGCAGGGTGAGCCTGGGCCCCGGTCCTGCCTGCAACGTGGGCTCCGCTGTACCCGTGGCCTTGAAGTCCACCCCATCCCTGAGCCAGAGCTCCTGCCGCCCCACCACCTCCCAGTGAGACTTGGCTCCCGGTCTCCTCTTCGCCCTGCCCCAGCCTCCCTGTCACCCCCAGCTCCCTGCATACGGCTGGAAGGGGCCTCCCAGCCTCCGCCTTCATTACCCTTGGCTCCTGCGGCCAGGCATGAGTCTGTGGCTCGTTGGTGTGCTCGGGGCTGGGTGCTCCCCAAGCCAGGGCACAGGGTGGCTTCCAAGCCATTCCTACAGGCCGGCAGCCCAGCATCTGCCCAGCCGAGTGGCCTTCTCCACCCCCGAGCCTCCCAGCCTTATCTGTGCCCAGGGAGACAGGATGCTGGCCAGCCCTGTCCACAGCCCCAGCCCACCTCCTGTGGCTGGGCAGGGCCAGTGTGTGGAGCTAACCTTTGACTCCCTACTTACCCGCAACTTCTGCTGGCTGGGGTGTGTGGCACCGCCAGCACCCTCAGGTCACCTGGTCCATGGCCTCCCTCGAAGCCATCCCGGGCGGGCTGGGCCCTGCCCTGTGCACCTGGATGGGCAGCACCCTGCTGTGCAGGTGACCCAGTGAAGTTGAGGAACTGGTTTGTGGTCATGTTCAGGTGCGGGGATCGGCCCCAGCCCCTGCCACATGTGGGACCATGCTGACTGGGCCTGCAGGGCCCCGGGGCTGACAAAGTCCCTTCCTGGGCAACCAGGTGGGGCAGGCTGTGTGCTGGGTGGCCACCCACACTGCCTCCCGGAAGCCACAGCCCAGCAGGGTTCAAGGAGTGCACACCTCTCACCTGACACCCTTTCACCCGGGTAGCCTGAGAGCCTCCCAGGGCTGGGCCTGCAGGTTCCAGTTCTGGTTCCAGTTCCACAGGCCAAGCGGGGCTGGAGGACAAGGTGGCAGCTAGTTGGAGCAGAGCCCTCTGCTGTCAGTTACCCTGGTCTTTCTCCCCCTCACTCTTTTAAGTAGGCAGTTGGGCAAAAGGGTAGTATTCACAGTAAGAAAATTGTTCTGATTTTCATAATTTCAGGAAGCCGTTTTGCTTCACCTTCTGTGAGACCTTTGACAAGTCTGATAAGTGTGTCTTGCTCTTAGTCCGTAGGGTTCGGGCATTAGGCTCGTCATATAGATGCAAGACTGGGCACGTGCTGGTAGGGCAGGGCGGCGTGAGCATCTGTCCCCCCTGGCGGAGCAGGCCTAGGATGCTGTGGATGCGGCCATCTCCTCAGAGGTGGAGGCCACGTCGTGCGCTGTGTGAGTGACCAGGCAGGAGGGAGCCAGAGAGGATGCCATGGGCGGCCCCTCGGCTCCCAGAAGCACCTGGGAGGGGTGAGTGCTGTGCCTGCTGTGGGTGGCGTGTCAGGGACAGGACAGGGGAGGCACTTGCTGCTGTCGTTCGAGCTGCCAGTGGGATGTCACTCACTGTCCTGGAGAAGCCACTGCCAGCAGAGAATGGCCAGAGCAGGCCTCTGGGTTGGACGCTTGGGCTGGAAAGGCCCCCGTTCCACTGCCAGCACTGTAGTCTCAAGAGTGTGCGGGGCCGGGGCTGTATGGAGTGAGGCCCTGCCACAGCTGCATGGGACGGGCTGGGGCTCGCGGCCCACACACTCCCAGTGTCCCTGAGGCTGCAGCCACTTGGGCCCTGGCCTTGGGAAAAACACCCGGACCCTGGCTGGTGCCCATACACAGTCACTTTTGAGTCTGAGGGGGCCAAGCGGGCTCAGTGCCAGTGGCCCCCCGAGGGCTATAGAGATCCAAAGCCCACACTTGCAGTGCTTCTGCCGCCTTTTAAACCAGTGGTTTCTCCGGTCGGGGATTTAGCTCAGTGGTTTCGCTGCCTGCTGCGCAAGCGCAGGGACCCGGTTCCAAAAAAAAAAAAACACACCAGTGGTTTCTCTGGAAAAATCAAGGGTCTCCTAAGTTCCCACAGTGTCACTGCAAGGAGGGGCTGTGTGTCCTGAGGGTCCTGGGCCTGGCAGCCGTCTGTGGGGACCTAGGCTGCCCGGGCCTCCCTCCTGGGCCCCACTCGGTCCTGGCTCCAGAGGCCCCAGAGGCCTGCATGCTGGCCTGAGGGCAAGCAGTGGGTGCAGTGGACAGCGGCACAGGTAGGGCCCGTGGCTGGAGTGGGCTGGGGTCCCCCAAGTCTGCTGGCACAGCAGGGGGGGCTCCCCAGCGCCAGGCTGCAGGGCCTGCTGTCGCTGAGGATTTCTCCTTCTCCAAGTCAGAGCCTTTTCCTCCCCTCCTCTCAGGCACATTCAGGACCCTGCGAGCCAGCGGTTGACGTGGAACAAGTCCCCGAAGAGTGTGCTCGTCATCAAGAAGATCCGAGATGCCAGCCTGCTTCAGCCCTTCAAGGAGCTCTGCATGTACCTCATGGAGGCGAGTTGGGTGCCGGGTGGGGTCCCCGGGACGTGGAGCAGGGCTTGGGAGCTCTGAGGGAATGCCACACACAGGGCATAGACACGATGCTGTTGGCCCGCACATCTGGAAACTGCCTGGGTCCCTCCAGTGAGCGCCCTGCTGTGTCTCCATGTGGCGGGGGGGGGGGGGTGCTGGGGAAGGGAGCCTGAGGAGCGTCCCCACCTCCGTGAGGCCGCTCCTGTGCTGGTGGCCCTGGCATGACGCCTGTGGCCTCAGCACCTCCTAGATGTCCCCTCAGTACCGCTGGGAAGTTGTGTCATTGTCAGCTTTGTGGGACAAACCTGGCATCTACAACCTAAAGGAAAAGGGTTCCTTTGACTCAGAGTCCCTCGGGGTGCAGCCCTAGGCTGCTGCTCCAAGTCAGAGGCAGTGCAGTGCAGGGTGGGGCAGGGTAGATCCTCAACCCACGCAGACAGAGTGCGTGGGCCGAAAGACCCCACCACGTGCACGCCCAGGATCCCCTGGTCTGCATCTCCCGAAAACTCCTCCTCTGAGCGCACGAGGCAGGGCATGCTTCAGGTCTAAACCATGTCATGGCTTTGCGTGCAGGCACACAGCTCCCCAGACGAGGAGGCCTGGTCAGGGCACCTGGTCCTGGAGGGGCCTCTGCCGACGTCTGGTTGCTAGCACGGTGGCCAGGTGGCCCTCCTCGCTGGCGGGCACCATGGCTAGAGATGGCATGCATGTCTTCTGGCCCCTCCTCTTAAAGCCACCAGGGCCCAGGAGCTGTTCTGACCGCACAGCCCCGAAGGCCGCCGCCCAACACCGCCCTCCTCCTTCCTCGGAGGTGGAAGCCTCCGGGGCCCCATTCCAGTCATGTCAGCCCCACCCGGAGGGCGCCAGCAGCCATGCGCACCACTCTGCTTGCAGGAGAATGGCATGATTGTGTACGTGGAGAAGAAGGTGCTGGAGGACCCTGCCATTGCATGTGACGACAACTTCGGACCAGTGAAGAAGAGGTTCTGCACCTTCCGGGAAGGTGAGCCCCGCGGCCCGGGGTCGGTGTCCGGCAGGGGCTCTGGGCTTGCCGTGATGTGCTGCTGGCTTTCCGTGTAGATTACGACGACATTTCCAACCAAATAGACTTCATCATATGCCTGGGAGGTGACGGGACCCTGCTGTACGCCTCCTCACTGTTCCAGGTAAGGCCCTGCTGCTCCTTACTCCTCCTCCGGTGCTCCTCAGTCCCGGGCTCACAGGAGCCACCGCCCTCCGGGTCCAGGGCCCCCATACCTGGAGCCCTCGCCCAGAACCCGGCCCCACAGCAGCCCGCCCTGCACCTCTGGACCCATCTGTCCCCCACCCTGTCCCTGGGTGCACAGGGCCCCCACGGCCCAGTCTGCAGAACAGAGCCCGCCCAGGGTCTGCTGCCATGGATGGGATGGGGCCTCTGCATGGCCATACGGACCCCGGCTGACTGTCCCCACCCGCAGGGCAGTGTGCCTCCTGTTATGGCCTTCCACCTGGGCTCCCTGGGCTTCCTGACCCCGTTCACCTTCAAGAGCTTCCAGTCGCAGCTGACCCAGGTGATCGAAGGTGCGTTGGGGTTCAGAGCCCGTAGCACTAGCCTGGGCCTGTCCTCCACTTGCCCTGCTTGGCATTTGTAGCCGTTTTGATAACGATGTATAGAACAGCGCTTTCTAAGCTTCAAGATTGAGGGATTTCTGCCAGCCCTGGTGGCCCGTCATCCCAGCATTCGGGAGGCTGAGGCAGGAGGATCACCACGAGTTCAAGGCCAGTCTGGGCTGCTGAGTGAGTTCAAGGCCAGGCAGGGCCGGGGATTTGGCTCAGTGGTTTCGCAAGTGGAGGGATCTGAGTTTGATCCCCGGCACCAAAAAACAAACAAACAAGGCCAGGCTGAGCTACATAATGAGACCCGTCTCGTAACAAAAAAGAAGGGATTTCTAAATTTTGACTGCTTGGCACCACGTCGCCAACAAGCAGATTCGGGCTGGAGCAGCCTTGGCGTTCAGCAGAGGCGGCCTGCTTCTTGTGTCACTGTGCTTGGGAGCAGCACGGGGAGTCCCATTCCCCGCGCCCCACACCCTGCTGACCCCTCTGGCCCGCAGGGAACGCTGCCGTGGTGCTCCGGAGCCGGCTAAAGGTCAGGGTGGTGAAGGAGCCCCGCAGCAAGAAGATGGCCGAGCACAACGGACTCAGCGAGAACGGGCTGCCAGGCCCCTCACTCGAGGGCGGGAAGCAGGCCCTGCAGTACCAGGTGCGTGCGGCCCCGGGGCCCACCTGTGCTGCCGGCCTGCCTGCCACCTCCGTCTGAGCGCTGTCCCCTCCAGGTCCTGAACGAGGTTGTGATCGACAGGGGCCCCTCCTCGTACCTGTCCAACGTGGATGTCTACCTGGACGGACACCTCATCACCACGGTGCAGGGCGACGGTAAGGCCGGTGCCCTGGGGCCCTCCATCCAAGCAGGCCGAGGGTGACGCCCGCCCTGTCCCCGTCAGGAGTGATCGTGTCCACCCCAACGGGCAGCACGGCGTACGCGGCCGCGGCCGGTGCCTCCATGATCCACCCCAACGTGCCAGCCATCATGATCACACCCATCTGCCCTCACTCGCTGTCCTTCCGGCCCATCGTGGTCCCCGCAGGGGTGGAGCTGAAGGTCAGAGCCAGTCCCTCCCTTTCCACTGTGTGAGTCACTGGTCCACAGTGCTGGGAGTCCCCCGGGCCTGGGCGCAGATGGAGCCAGCGTTTCTTGCAGGCTTTCAGCTGCCAGATGGGCGCCCACGGTGGGTGGGGACGCCTGTGGGCAGTGAGGGGAAACCTCTGCCCAGGTGTCCCCACCCCAAGGCCTTCGGGTACCCAGCCCCTGAGCTCCCATGCCCTGCCGTGGGCTCTGGCAGACAGGGCCCCCTCCAGCCGGGCGGCCTGTCGCTCTTCCTGAGTGTCCTCCTCACCCAGGACCCTCTCTTGTCCCCACCTGGCCCTTAGATCACGCTGTCACCAGAAGCCAGGAACACTGCGTGGGTGTCCTTGGACGGACGGAAGCGGCAGGAGATACGCCATGGAGACAGGTGTGGGCAGTGGGCTGGATGCCGCACGGGGTGGCAGAGGTGCCCAGGGTCTCAGGTGGCCCCAGCTCCTGGTCCTCCTGCCCTTCGAACCTGGGTGTGCCCTTTTGGGAGCTGCGCGGAGGGCATGTGGGTCCTGGCTCTGCCCGGCCCACCTCGGCCCTGCTTGGGTGTGCGGGTGGGCGCAGGCTCAGCGGGCTCTGCTCCTGCACAGCATCACCATCACCACCTCCTGCTACCCGCTCCCCTCCATCTGCGTCCACGACCCTGTGAGTGACTGGTTTGAGAGCCTGGCGCAGTGTCTGCATTGGAATGTGCGCAAGAAGCAAGCCCACTTCGAGGAAGAGGAGGAGGCAGCCGAGGACGGCGAGGAGGGCTAGGCTGTGCCCACCTGCGGCGGGTGTCAGAGCTCCCCACTGGCCCCGTCCTGCCGGGCTGCAGCGGAGCAGGGACTGTGCCCACCTTTTGTGACCAGATCAGCTTTTTAACATTTTTAAATCTGACTTTTTTCATTGCTGAAGAAGCAAAGTGAGCACTGGGCAGGGAGCCCTAGCCGCCCCAGAGCAGGGCCCTTGTGACTGCAGGCCAGGACTTCCCAGTCGGTCTGTCAGAGTCTGTCCTTTGATGTCGAAATAAATGTCTCAGCCAAAAGTCTTCGTCAGCAGCACTGCTTTTCCCCTGGGCCTGTAACTTCTTCCCTCAACTCTGGGGGCCTCCGAGGCTTCTCTGTGGACTGGCAGGGCCACCCAGGCGCCACATTCCGACAACTGGGCGGCAGCGGCTCCGGGAGATGTTTTAAATCCTGTGCTTACTTTCTAGAGGTTCTTTTACACTTTCTGAAGTGCTTACGTACATATTTTCTTGTACACACTTTGTGACGCTGCCGCCAGAGGGACCGTCCTGGGTCCCGTTTACACTGTGTCCCGACCAGCTGCTGGGAATGGCCCACAGGGCTGCGGCAGCTGGGGTGGCCTAGCTTCTGCCCTCACCTTTGCTCCTGAGTGGGGTCTCCACCTGCTGAGCTGGGGCAGGAAGGCGGGGCCGGCCTCTGCTGCAGTGTCTGGCGCTGGCAGGAGGCTCCCAGGGCACCCTGAGGTCCGTGTAGCCAGCGCCTGTGCACCTTCTTTCCGAGTGTCTGTTCCCTGGGGGTCCTCACTGGGTGTGGGGCTGAGGCAGGAGGAGCGCATGTCCATGGCCTGCCGTGGACCTCCCAAGACCCTGTCCCAGCTGGGCACGTGCTCACCAGCACTCGAGAGGCCCCGGGCTTGGTGCGCAGCACCCCCATCCCTGCCTCCCTCACCAAGTGTCCCACCGTCCTGCTGGGGGCTCTGCCCAGGCCTGTCCTCGCCTGCCTGCCTGCCTTCTTGAGCAGGGCAGGACCTGCCATGCAGAACTGGGTCGCTGGTGTGGACGGCAAGCGGGTGGTGGCCAAAACTTCCTGGTCAGCTGCTGCTGGGCTGCTGAGAACCCTTGGATTTTTGAAGTAAATTCTTAATGTTTCATATTGTTAATATCTTGGAAATTTGTTAATTGTTGCTGAAAGCCTTATTACTATTTTCAGATCCTTTCAATAAACAGACTTGTAAAAAAGAGTTGAAGATCCACTTTCTCCCGGCTCTTTGGAACTGGTCCAGGCACCTGGACAGCGGAGGCCCTGTCCTCACTGGCGGGCACCCCAGCCCCTCCCCACTGTGGGCCAGCACAGCCCCACAGGGACCCTGGGTTCTGGGCTGGAAGTGAACACAAGGTGCGCTGGGCCCCCCAAGGGCCATGGTATCCCCAGGAAAAGACCTGAGACCACCTAAGTCCTGGGGCCAGGTGGCCACGAGCCCAGCTTGGCCACGGGCTCTGCGGCTGCCACCTCCTGCCACACTGGGAGGCTCTCGGTGCCACACGTGTGTACAAGCTGGGGACACCAGAATGTGACCCGGGGGTGGGCCTGGCTGCCACAGCCACCAGGCCCCGCACGTCCTTGGGTGAATGCCATGGTCGAGCACCAGGGAGCCGGGTGGGGCCTAGTGCCAGCCCTGCACCCTGCCCTCAGGCCAGCTGGGCACGTGTGGGAAGCAGGGTGTATCAATCAGGGTGTACCAGCGGCCTGGGTCACTACCTGCACACGCGTGGCCCTGGACCTCCTGTGTGCAGTGAAGCAGCATCTCGCCCAGATCTGGCCTCATGAACCCCGGTGCACAGGCCGCTCTGCTCCTGCCTGAGGCCTGCAGCCTCTTTGAGACCAGGACTCAGGGCCAGCTGGCCAGAGGTCTGGGCCCCAGAGGCAGCCCCAGGTCAGGTGCGCACACCAGTTGGCTTCACAGCCTTAACCTGCCCTTGGGGATACAGATGTGGCCAGAGCCCCACAGAGCTCCCATCACAGTCAGCAGCAACCTGGGAAGGCTCTGGCCTGAAGCACCAGCAGCCAGGGCCTAGGGCTCCCCAGAGCTAGGCTGGGCCTCAAGCCCTGGACCTGCAGTGGCCCCTGCCCTGCCCTGGCATGGCCAACCCTTCTCCGGCCAGGCTGAGGCCTAGAGCTGCCGTGTGCAGGTGGCTGAGGGGCTGAGGCTGGGGACACAGGACCTGGCAAGGCCTGGAAGTCCTGCCACTTCCATCACTCTGTCCCAGAAAGACTCAGGCCAGAGCTCAGGCAGCCTTCAGAGACGAGGCGTCCCTCTGGTAAACAGGCTGCCCTGGAGGAGCCCATCTGGGACTGCACTTGGGAGCCTCCACCACCAGGGCAGAAACCCAAAGAGGGAAGCCTGTGCCCTTTGGAGTGAGGTCACGGGGACAGCCAGGGTGGGGGACGCACTGCAGGAGGACACAGGGCACGGTGACGCATCCATATCCCGTGAAGTCCTGGGGACTAAGGTCCAGTGCTCTCTGTCCAGGCAGGGCCACCAGGAAAGATGACATGGACGGAGACAGAGATACTGAGATGGACAGGACAGAGACCGAGACATGAGGAACAGCCACAGAGAATCACAGATGAGAGAGATAGACAGGAACGTCCAGAAAGACACACGGGCTGCTTCCACTTCTCTTTTTCTGTATGTGGTACTGGAATTGAACCCAGGACCTTCCTGCTGAGTCCCCAACCCTTTCTATTTTTTTTCAAAACAGGATCTTGGGCCGGGGATTTAGCTCAGTAGTTCCACCACCTGCCTCGCAAGTGTAAGGTCCCGAGTTCCATCCCTGGAACCAAAACAGAAAAAGATTGCCAAGCCCCCAAATTGCCCAGGGCGGGCTCAAACCTGTGATGCTTTCTTTTTTTTTTGGTACCAGGGATCGAACTCGGGTCTTTGCCCTTAGGTAGCAGGCAGTGAAACCACTGAGCTAAATCCCCGGCCACTGTGATGCTTTTGACTCAGCCTCCCACAGCACTGGGGTCACAGGCCTGCACCACCACGCCCACACCCGGCTGGCAGACATTTCCCAGGCCTAGATCTGCTTTGAATGTGTCCTCTAAGCTTCCTGTATTGAAGTTCGAGGCTGCTGGAGTATAGCAGCTGGATCTAATCGGACTATGGGCTCAGCAGGAGGGGGGGGGCAGGGTGATTAGGCTGAGATAAGGTCCTAGGGTGGGGTGGAAGCAGAGGACACACACACCTGTCTCACCACAGGGCTCAGAGGCCCCTGACCTTGGGCAGAGCCTGAGCCAGGGTAAACCTCTCTTCCACAACTGCTTTGTCATCAGCAAAAGGAAGTGGATGAAGACGCACTGGGGAAGGCGGGGTCTTCCCCTGCCCTGGCCACCTGGGGCTTCCTGTGGCCTCAGTTGAGGCAGGCAGGAGCTAGGTCAGTGGGGGTGGTGGGCAGGGGCTGCCCTCTGCCTGGGCATCCGCAATGGGGCAGGTGTCTACTCCGGATGAGGACCGTGTCCAGCCACCCAGGCCAATGAGCCACGGCTGCCCCCGGGCCATCCCCAGGCCTGGCCAGGGACTCTCAGGAAGACGCCACAGCTGGTACCCAGGGAGGGACAGTGAGGGGGCAGCCATTGGGAGGAGGCACTGCAGTGGCCATGTGGACCAGTGGAAAGCGGAGGCTCTGGCCCCTGAGCTCTGAGCGCAGGCGAGGATAATGTAACCACCAGTGGGGGCTGGCTCAGGGCTACAGGCGGGTGGTGTCCCTTCTCCAACCACTGGACCAGGACAGACCCTGGGGGTTCCAGGGCCCCCTGTCCTCACTGTCCCTCTGGGGACGGCAGCTTCAGGGGCCCCCATTGACAGAAGGACCAGAGGGTCTGGGCCTGGAGGTGTGGGGTCCAGGGCTGCCCAGTGGGGGCAAGTCCGGAAGGTGGCAGCCCCTCCCCTAGGCCCCCACGGCTTCCAGGACTCCTGATTCTGCCGCCCAGTGGTCCAGGCCCCTTTGGAGGGAGAGGCACCAGGGCCCATCTGGCTCCTCACCCTCTGCTCTGTCTTCCAGTTTCTAAAGGTGCTTTTCCTCCCTGGCTCCAGCACGGGGCCCAGCTGCAGCAGAGCGTCCGGAGCTATTCCCACCCTGCCAGGGAGCTGCCCTGTTGCCCAACATGGGCTAAAGTACTCCATTCCTTAGCTGGGATCTGATCCCAGTTGAGCAGAAAGCAGCTGGGATGCAGGGCAATCCAAATCCCTAGAGACTGAGGAACTGCTGGGATGGGAGGCCAAGATGCACTGAAGATTGCATCCTTCAGTGGTTCCACCTAGCTCTTCCCTGTTTTTGTTTTTCTGGTACTGGGGATTGAACCCAGGACCTTCACACTGAGCTACGTCCCCAGCCCTTTATATACTTTTTATTCTAAGATGGGAAATTGCCGAGGGTGACCTTGAACTTTCCATCCTACTGCCTCAGCCTCCCAGAGTGCTGGTATTACAGGCATGCCGCACTGCGATGGCTCCCTTTTGTTGTAGTCAGGGTTTGCAAGGGAATAGGTTTCATTCAGGAAATATAATTTATAGGATTATTTCATGATATTCACCCAAAAAGTCAAATGCACAGGAGTACAAGAGACCTGTCCATGCACCAGAGACCCAGAGAATCCAGCTGAGGGTCTGGATCCACACCAATGTCCCGCACAACTCCGGCTGAAGGCCTAGTGTCCCAGGCAGTGTCCCCCAGGAGTCCAGCCAGAGGCCTGGAGCCCACGGCAATGTCTCATGCAAGTCCGCATTGAGGATCTGCCCCGGGAAGGCCCAAAGGCCAGGGTGGAAGCCAGAAAGCCCGAGCCTAGTGGTGATGGGGGTGTTGTGAAGGGTTTGTGCCACCAGCTGAGGGATCCGCATTGGAGCCAGGAAGTGACACTCACAGTGAAGACCAGAGCTCCCCTGAAGAGAACAGCAGCCATTCCCCGAGAGAGCGAGGCCCCGAGCTCCTCCAACAATGAGAACAGCCGAGTTCACCTCAGGAAAACCAGCTGCGGCGGCAAGCCTTCCCAAGAAAACCAGTCCCCTCCAGTTCTCTTTTTCCGCCATTGGCAACAACCTCAGGTAGGTCTTCCACACCCAGACCACACCCATTCAGCTATTCAACTCAGGGGATGTTCCAAGTTGGCCATTAGTTAATCTACCACACCTGTGACCTTGCTTTTTTTTTTTTTAATTTTATTTTATTGGTACATTTTAGGTATACAATATAATGACATTCATCATTGGAAATTTGCAACTTGCTTGTTTTTCTGAGCTGATTCCAGAAACTGGCTGTTGACCACAAAACTGACCCCAAGCTGGTAGGGAAAAGAAGACCACCAGAGGTGGTGGTGCACACCTGTGATCCTAGGACTCGGGAGGCTGAGGCAGGAGGATTGTCACAAGTTTGAGGCCAGCCTGAACTATGTAGTGAAACCTTCTCTCAAAAACCAAGATGAAAAAAAAAAGCAAAATGAAACAGACCATATATATAAACATGAGAGAGACAGAGGCCACCCCAAATAGCTTGTCTCTGCCTGTCAGTGCCAGAACAGCAGCCAGCCAGCCTGCCTCCTGAGAAATGCTAGCCCAGTCCTCTTACAACTACCCCCCACCTCCCCAGTGGTGCGTGTGCCTGGGCGAGGCGTTAAAATGTCGGCGCCTCCCTGGCTGCCAGCCTCCACCACGCCCACCGTCTCCCTAGCCCTCATCTCAGGGGCAGGTTTTCTGGCTAAATTCCCCAGCCTGTTCTCCCCTTGTGATCCACCTGCCTCAGCCTTCCAAGTAGCTAGGGTGACAGGAGTATCCTACTGTGCTCGGCTCAGTCTATATTCTCTCACCCAAAAATTCAACTTCTTGGGCTCCTGCCAAAGGGAGAAGTTTGAACGCCAGCAAATTCAGGTCAAGACCAGCGGCATGGTGTCCTCATGGGGAAAGGGTGCCCATGCCCTGTGCAGCCTCGGAAATGGGCGCTGTCTGCACATTCAGAGCCCAGGGCTGTGGGGCCAGGGACACAGGAGGGACAGGAGATGCCTAGGTGTCATTAGATCCCTGAAGGGCACCAGCACCATCCTGTGAGATGCACACACTCCAGTCGCTAGAAACCTGTTTTCCACATCGCTCAGCTGTGCAAAGCTCGCTTCATGGCCAGCTCAGCAGAGCCCGAGGTCCTGCAGCTGCATTCAGGTTGCAGAAGGCGTTGGGCCCAGGAGGAGGGGGAGCTGCACAGACCACCAGCCCGCAAGCTGGAAGTGACCCCAGGCTCCATCTGGCCCAGGGCACGGGTGCTCAGTTTACATGGGGTCTAGGTCCCTGGCTCTGCAGGGCCTTCTCTTCGAGGAGCCTGACGCCAAAGCTGTCATGGAGGAAAGGTCTGGTGGCTTTTGTTTCTTTGCAGCAGTGGGGATTGAACCCAGAGCCTTCGCACTGACCTCTGTCTCCAGCCCTGGTTTTGGATTTTTTTGGAGACAAGGTCAGTCCCTAAATTGCCCAGGCTGGGCGCAAATTTACCATCCTCCTGTCTCAGCCTCCCAGAGACTTGGGGCTACAGGTGTCCACCCTGTTTGACATGGGGGCTTTTCCTGGAAGACAACTTAAGGAGTTTACATCTGGGTGTCTCCAAGATTGACCAAGTCGTCTGGATACTGAATTTAGGCAACAAATGGCAGCCTTAGGTTCTGAGGTTCCTATTTAAGTAAACATTTTGCTTCTGCTTCTTCCTCTTTTTTTTCTATTTTTAGGTCCAAGCCCTTGACAGTTCCAGGGAGGCTTGCTGCCCTCTTCCACCCCTGGCTGCCAGGGGACAATCTCACCACAGGCACCGCGGGGAGGTGGCACTGTTCAGCACCCGGTTCCCCTCTTCCCCAGGTTCTCCCCCTTCCCACCTTCAGGCTTCCTGGGTAATCCCAAGCAGGAACCCACCCAACAACCGACTTCTGGGCAAGATCTGAGGGGAAGTGTAGGAGTCATCTTTTTTTTTTTTTTTTTTTGGTACCAGGGATCGAACTTAGGTCCTTGTGCTTGCGCAGCAGGCGGGAAAACCACTGAGCTAAATCCCTGGCCCTGTAGAGTCATCTTTAAAATGTGCCTTCTGGGGCCAGGGACTTAGCTCAGTGGTTCTAGCGCCAGCCTCACGAGCACAAGGTCCCAAGTTCTATCCCCAGTACCAAAAAAAATAAAAATAAAAAGTGCCTTCTGCTGTAATCCCAGCACTCAGGAGGCTGAGGCAGGAGAATTGCCACAAGTTCGAGGCCAGCCTAGGCTACATAATGCGTTCAAGGCCAGCCTGAACTACAGTGCGAGGCTGTCTCAAAAACCAAAAGAATAAAAATAAAATAGAAAGTGCCTTCAGCAGAACCGGACGCCAGAGGCCCCAGCAGCGCCCCTGCGTGGCCACCAGTACATCCTGACGTCCAGGCCGAGCCAGGGGCCCACGAGGCCTGGAGACGGCCCCGCCCCGGGGCGGAACCTCTGCGGCGCAGCCAATCAGCGGCCCCGCTTCGGGGGCGCGGCGGCCCCGACCCGCGGCCAGGGTCGGCTGTGCAGGCGCTGTCCGAGGCCTGCTAAGCGGCCGGGCTCTGCCGCCCGCCCGGCGAGCCCGCGCCACTTCCTGTGCGTCACTTCCGGCCCCCAGCAGTGTCCCCGCGCCCGGGCCGGGCCGGGCTCGGCCGCCGCCGCGGGCCTCCCAGAGCGCGGTGCGGCGTCCCCTGCGGCCTGGCGTCCCTGCCGGGCTCGGCGGCCTCTGCCCAGGCCTCGGTCCCCTCTGTGGCCCCGGTGACCACCGCCCGGCCTGGTCCCCTGCCCCGCCCGGTGTCCGCGGACCCCGGCGTCCCCTGTCCCGCCTGGCCCTCCGACCCGAGAGGTCCGTGACCGCGGAAGAGGCCGAGCCCTAACGAACGACGCGGCCTCGCCTCGCGCCGGAAGCCGGTGCCGCGCCGTGGGGACCCTCGGGGCGGGACGAAGGTAGGGCGGGCGCTGGGTCTCGCTGCGTCCTAGGAAATCGGACCGAGGCCAACTTCCGGGGCGGGGGGCGGGTCCCGGCCTGACCCCGGCTGGCGACCCGGCCGGCCTGGGGCGGGGACCTCCATTCTTGTAGTAAGCAGGTGACTTTTCTGTTTCCTTTCTCTTTTTTTGGTACCGGGGATTGAACTCAGGCAGGCGCCAGCGCCACCGAGCTGAATCCCCGGCCCTCTATTTCCTTTCTTAACCCCGGGCTCTCGCGCTGCGCCTTCTCCCCGACTTCTGCTGTTGTCTTGTTCTGAGACAGTCTCGCTAAGTCTGTGAGTTCCTCAGGCTAGGCTAGAATTTCCAGTCTTCCTGCCTCAGCCTCCTAGACCGCTGTTATCACTGGTGTGCATCACGTGCCTGGCTTGGTTTTTCTGTGAGGGTCGTTTATGAGGGCTTTTAACAAACAGCCCGTTTCCTCACAGCACTCAGGCTCCGGTCCTTGAACACACCACGCTGCTGCAAAAGAAGAGAACAAAAAGCCAGACGCTGCTGTGGAGATCTCCCCAGCCATTTAACCCGGGGCCCCCTGGGAGCTACACCTGCCTGTTTCAGTTTTTGAGATCTGCTGCTCCAGCAGCTGAGGTTATAGCCAGAGTTCCCAACAAACCGGAGTTCAATAAACTTTGTAAACATTTTCTAAACAGAATGAGAGTATTAAACAGCATTAATGCTAAAAGGGAATACTGAAAGGACAGATAGAGCCAGGCATGGTGGCATAGGCCTGTAGTCCCGGCACTCCAGGATGGTGAGGCTGGAGGGTCACAAGTTCCAGCCCAGCCCAGGAAATTTAGCAAGCTAGCAATACCCTGTCTCGGAAGTTTTTAAAAGGCTGGGGATTTAGCTCAGTGGTGCTACCGCCTGCCTCGCAAGCGCAAGGTCCTGAGTTCAATCCCCGGTACCAAAAAACAAAAAGCAGGCGGTACCTGTCTATAACCGCAGCACCTGGAGGCTGAGCTGTGTGTTCAAAGCCAGCTGGAGCTACATAGCCTGTACTGCATAGTGGGACCTTGTCTCAAAACAAAAACAAAAAGCTGGGGATATACCCAGGGTGCAGGCTCTGCTTCAGCCCCGGGGTGGGTGTGGGGTGGAGATTGTCACACCTAAGATCTGAATCAACGAAGACTTCACACCCAGGAGTCTGGAACCATCTTTAGTTCTTCCAGAACAAAATTCCTACCCTGGGTCCCAGGAGCCTGGATTCAGGGAAACTATTCCTTGGATGGTCTGAACAGGACACCTTTGCCTGGGGTCCCTGGCTGCGTCCTCTCCCCAGGCGGGTCAGTCGCAGGCAGTGCTGGTGTCCCCCACATCTCTGCCCAGGGTCAGAAGGGTCAGGGCAGCCGCTGTGCATGGCTGGTGGGAGCCTGGTTTTTGTCTGTGCTGGACACTTGGCGTCGTCCTGGAGAGCCGCACAGTCAGACCTTCGCACTGGTCCCCAGGGTAGGCAGCCAGTTCTCCACCCCAACTCCAACTGTGACCTGCTTCCGCTTCTGCTTCCGTTTCCTGGGCCTCAGAAAGGTTGGCACTGTTTTTTGCTTTTTTACCCCCCATTCTGGGGACTGAACCCAGGACCTTGCAAATGTTAGGCATTCTTTACCACTGAGCCACACCCCCACCCTGTTGTTTTTTATTTTTCATTCTGAGACAGTGTCTTGGTAAGTTACCCAGTGTGGCCTTGAACTTTCGATCTTCCTGCCTCAGCCTCCCTGTGGTAGGGATTACAGATGTGTGTGCACCACTGTCCCTGGCTGCTGCCAGCTTGTTGCTGCCAGATCACTTCTGACCGACTGGGTCTTGCAGGACAAGAACTGGTTCCTCTGGAAGGAGCAAGTGTCTTCTGGGCCTAGGAGAAACAGCCAGCAGGGCCCTGGGCAGGACCTGGTGAGGTGCTGGCCGGCCAGGTCCTGTGCTCCGCCTGCTCACCTATCGCTTTCTCTGAGGGGATGCAAGGCTGCCTTCTACTCCCTGGCCTCCCTGTGGGCATGGCCCTGTGTCAGTAGCTCGGGGCTTGCTGGGTGCGATTCATTTTTGCCAGCCTGCAGTATTCCGCCGTTTGCTTTAACCTGGGCCATGCAGGAAAGGGTGGGAAATCTCTGGGGTCTGATCCTTCATTTTGGCCCAAAGTCTTAAAGCCTCTACAATGACCTCTGACCCCATGAGACTCCCCCTTGAGGGTGGATTCCAACCAGGGCCTCGCTTATACTCAGAGTAAAGGACAGAGCTGGGGGTGGTGGTGCATGCTTATAATCCCAGCTACATGGGAGGCTGAGGCAGGAGGATCACAAGTTCAAAGCCAGCCTGGGCAGTTTAGCAAGACCCTGTCTCAAACTTAAAAAGAAAAAAATTTTTAAGGGCTGGTGATGTAGCTCAGGAGCAAAGTGCCCCAGTACTGCCGGAAAAAGAAACCAAACCAGAGCACCACCCAGTTCCCTAGTGCTGCTGGATGAATGTTATTGATTGGAATTTGCCTATGGATGTGAAGTCAGGATCCAACTTCTTTTCTTTTGGAAGTTATTTATTACTGTTTTTGTTTTTGTATTTTTTGAGACAGGGTCTGGCTATGTAGTCCAGGCTGGCCTTTAACTCACTTTGGAACCCAAGGGTGGCCTTCAACTTGCAGCAGTCCTCCTATCCCAGCCTCGGAGTGCTGGGACTACAGGAGCATGCCACCACGCCCAGCTTGTTCCTGCTATTTTGAGGCAGGATCTTGTGCATTGTGTTGACCAGGCTAGCCTTGAACTCCTAGTTGTGGGCAATCCTTCTGTCTCAGCCTTCTGACTTCTGAGACTACAGATTGTGTAGGACCTTTTCTTGCTGGCGTGGTCCATCATCCTGGTATCAGACTGACTCTTCAGGCACTCTGGGAGGCTGAGGCAGAAGGACTGCAAGTTGTAACCCAGCCTGTGCAATTTAGTGACTTAGCAAGATCCTGTCTCAAAATAAAACATTTTTACAAAGGAATGCGGGGGGGGGGGAGTATAATTAAAACCTAAAAAAAAAAAAAAAATGCTGGGGATGTAGCTCAGTGTGATGGTCCTGAGCTCAATCCCCAGAACTAAGAAAAAAAAAAAAAATCTGTCTTCAGGGAACTGACAGAAATCTGGGTTTTCATAAGGAAAGGAGCAGCAGGGAGGGTTTTGGGTTCTGTGAGGTTGCTCCAGGGGCACTTGGGTCCCCATCCTGAGATGACTGTGCCTGCTGTGGGCAGCGGCCTTGGTCATGGGGTGCCTGCTCTACAGGGGGTTAGGGAGAGGGTTAGGGAGAGGGTCGAGGGAGCAGGCCGAGGGAGCGGGCGGTGGAGCACTCCCTGTGGAGCCGTAGGTTCCAGCCTGGACAGGTGGGTGTGGATGAGGTCCAAAGGGCTGTGGGGGTGCTGTCCCGCCACATCCTCTGCCCTTGGCCTCCAGGACCCCCGAAGCCTGTTGTCCCCAAGCCTTCCGCAGGAGTGAGGACTGCAGATTGCAGCCGGGTGGGGTGGGCACAGGGATCTTCCCCTCGGACACTGGTGCCAGTCGGGGCTGCTGGGCCCGATGACATAATCCGAGGTACACTTGGCCTTTGTCCCTGGTTCCCGTCATGGCACCCTTCAACCTTTGGTTTCCCAAGCGACAGGAGGCTGTGCTGTCACTGCTGCACAGGGACACCCAGGACAGTGATGACCTGACTTCCGCGCTGTGAGCCGCAGTGCTGAGGGGGTGGTGCCCTGCTGTCCCCACCTGCACTTGAGGGGGTGTCACGGGGCCTGACTGGAGCCTGCCAGTCACGTCCTGGGGCTGGTGAGGGGATCTCAAGTGGGGGTGGCCTTGGGGACTGAAGTGACCTCCAGATGGACAGCGTCCTTCGAGGAGACGCCTTGCAAGCAGGCCTGGCCTCCTGCCCTGGGGTTTCCTGTCCTTCTGGTGGCCGCCCTTGAGTCATGCTGCCCCTTGTGATCTTGGGGATCTTTGATTCCTAGGCAGAGGCCAGTGCTCTGCCCGGCAGCTCTGAGCAGCTGCAAGTTGCTCCTGCTGTCCAGCCCGGGTTTTGTCCCACAGGCAGGTGTTGCTGGCCTCTGTTTCCAGGAGCGTGGCTGTTTGTCTTTCCTGGTGATCACATTTAATTTTTTGCTGTTTTGTTTGATTGTTGCTAACAAAATAAACCGGTGACCCCACTTCTGGAGCTTAAGAGGCCACTGCTTTTCCCAGTGGCTCTCTTCCCAGCTGGCTCTTCGAGTACTGTGACCATTCGCCCTGTTCCCTGGGACTCTGGGAAATCACATCCAGACAGTTTCAGTCAGGGTGCTGTTTCCAGGCTGGGACAGTCTGTGACTTGAATGCAGCCTCGGGAACTGGCAGGGCTGCTCCAGGCAGGGCCGTGGCTTGTCTGCTGTGGGCCACACAGGAGCTGAGTCCTCCTCCCCCTCCCCCTTCCCTTCCCCTCCTCCTCTGCTGTCTGTAGTTCCAGCTCCATCATAGATGGGGCCACAACCTCTTCCTGTTGGTGTAGCATCTCAGGGACTCCGGTGCTGGGATGGGGCCATTTTAGCCTTCCTGTTCCTGGGGGAGGCAGGGATAGGAAAAACTGCATAGGCACTAGGGACAGGCGGTGGTGCCAGGATGGAGTGTGGCCAGGTGAGCAGAGTGGTGTCCAGGGCTGGGCCCTGACCAGGAACCCAGAGTGGGCACAGGGATGCCCGCGGCTGGCCCCACGCTGTCAGCAGAGTTCTTGTGCACTGGTCAGTAGGGGGGGATTGAGCCCAGGGCCTTTGCACTGAGCTATGTCCCTAGCCCCCTTTTTTTGGTGTTTTTGGTCCTTTTTGTTTTTTGGTACCAGGGATTGAACTCGGGTCCCTTGTGCTTTCGGGGCAGGCGGCGGCACCACTGAGCTACATCCCTGGCCCTCATTTTTTTGGTGTTTTTGAGACAAGGTCTCACTATGCAGCCCAGGCTGGCCTCAAATTCATTGCAGTCCTCCTGCTGGGATTACAGGTGTGCCCCTCATGCCTACTTCCCCAGGTCGCTTATCACATGTCCCATGCTGTGTGAGAGCCAGGACATGGAGCCCTGGTCTAGTCCCCAGCTGTCGAATGTCCTCATCACATAGCCTCTGGGCAGGCGTCGCAGGACAGGGCCACCAGGTTGCAGCTCTGAGATAGACGTGAGCTTGGCCTCCAGCACTCCGTGTATGGCATGGGCATCCAGAGAGGCCCCACGAGGAGACCCCGGCACGAATACAAAATACGAGCCAGACACGGTGCACACACCTGTCACCTAGCACTCTGGGAGGCTGAGGCAGGAGGATCAAGTTTGGGCCCAGTCTGTGCAATTTAGCAGCTTTGTGAGACCCTGTCTTAGTTATTTATTTATTTTGGTACTGGAGATTGAACTCAGGACCTTGTACTTGTGAGCCAGGCGTGGTCCCAGTGAGGTAAATCCTCAGCCCCAAGCCTGTTTTTGTTGGTTTTTTTTGTTGTTGTTGTACCTGGGATTGAACTCGGGACCTTGAGCTTTCGAGGCAGGCGCCGGAACCACTGAGCTAAACCCCTGGCCCCCCAAACCTGTTTTAAAAGAAAAAATAAACGGGCTGAGAAAGTAGCTCAGTGTGAAGGCCCTGGGTTTGATCCTCAGTACCAAGAAAACCTGATATACCTGACACGTGTGACATATAAAACACAAAGTAAGCTTGCTGGAGGGGACCCAACCTGGGTGGAATGGCTGGCTATGGTGCCTGGTGCTGCAAGCCTATAATCCCAGTACTGGGAAGGCTGAGACAGGAGGATCACCATGAGTTCAAGCCCAGCCTGGCCTACATAAAAAGACCCTCTCTCTCGAAAGAACAAAAAGTCAAACAAACCAGCCTGGGTGGAGTGAGCCGAGCCATGCTGCACCAGGTGTGTGCAAGGGGCAGGATCTGAGGGCAAAACCCAGCTTGGCAGAAAGCGCGGAGAGGGCAGAGCCCCAGGGAGGAAGCCGCCCTGATCTGGGCAGGGCTGAGCGGCTCTGCTGCCTTTGGGTTTTAAGCTGTTTCACCTGATGGTAAAGCTCTGGGACGCTAAACACTCGCACGAGTAAGTCCTTTACTTTCCTTAGCTTTGGCTTGGCTTCCATGCCTCCCTGGGGCCATGTCCACCGGGCCTGCCCGTGTCCCCACCACTGGCAGTCGCTGTGACCCATGCTGGCCCTGCTGAGTCGCACTCTGTCCTCCTGGTGGCAGCCTCAGCATGGCGGAGCCCCTGGCCCCAGGGGGGAGCTCACCCGGCTCCAGCTCCGGCTCCGGCTCTGAGGTGGAGCCCAAAGGGAAGCCACTGCTCGCCTGGGTCCCCCTGCTTGGCCACCGCGGCGAGAAGATCCTCTTTGCCAAGAGCGACGGCGGCGCTGAGGGCAGCCTGCTCACCGTCACCCTCACCGAGACCACCGTCATCGAGTCTGACCTGGGTGTGTGGAGCTCACGGGCGCTCACCTACCTCACGCTGTGGTTCTTCTTCAGCTTCTGCACGCTGTTCCTCAACAAGTACATCCTGTCACTGCTGGAGGGCGAGCCCAGCATGCTAGGTGAGCAGGTGGCGGGCGGGAGGGCGGGGCCAGCGGGCACTGACGGCCAGGCCCCCTCCAGGCGCCGTGCAGATGCTGTCCACTACGCTCATCGGCTGCGTCAAGACTTTCGTCCCTTGCTGCCTGCACCAGCACAAGCCGCGGCTGTCCTACCCGCCCAACTTCATCATGACCATGCTCTTCGTGGGCCTCATGAGGTAGAGTCCCTCACTGGGTCTCATGGGGCTCCTGGCCCATTGGCTGCCGTCTCGGGGCTGCTCGGATTCCGGCCCCAGTGGGCTGGGGTTTGGAGCTCTGGATGCCACACCTACTGGATCCGGCTCTGTGGTGAGCAGCCTGGAACGACTGTGTCGGGGGTGGAGGACAATGGGCCAGAGGGCCACATGCTCACTCTTGCAGGAGCGCGTTCTGGGCCCGACCTGGAGCCTGCAGTCAGGCTCCCCACTGGCTGGCGAGGATTGGGGTCCCCGTGCCGAGCTCCTGACTTTGGACGACTTGTCCTGACATCTCCTGGCTTCTTGGCAGGTTTGCGACTGTGGTCCTGGGCTTGGTCAGCCTGAAAAACGTGGCAGTGTCGTTTGCAGAGACGGTGAAGAGCTCCGCCCCCATCTTCACGGTGATCATGTCGCGCATGATCCTGGGCGAGTACACAGGTGAGCTGTGCGGCTCTGCCCATCCTCCTCCTCCACTTGCCGCGTCCCCTCTGCCCAGCGCCACCTCGGAACTCAGTGGCTCCTGAGGTCACTGGAGTGGGTATTGCTTTGTGCCCAGTGCACCCGGCCGCCCCCGTGATGGCCTGCAGAGTCAGAGCAGGGCCATCTCTTGGCTCGGCAGGGGGCCCGGGAGGAACTGGGGCAGCCGGACATCTCGGTGCTGGTCCTGACCAAGGGGAGACCAGGGAGCGATCAGAGGACCTCCCGGGGGCTGAGGGAGGTGGCTGCTGTCCTCCTCCATCTTCCTATGTCGCCACCTTCTCTGGCCGTGTCCTCGTCCTCATCGCTCCTCCAAGCCCGCATCTCTACCCCGCCAGGACTCCGTAGGTCAGCTTTATCTCAGCAGTGTGCAGGTGTCCCCAGCAGCATGGAGAGCACAGCCCTGCTTTCCCACTGGCCTGTGCAGGGCTCACACTGAGCTGCACCCCAGCCCTTCTAGAGGTGTGTGTGTGCCACCCAGCCCAGCCCGGCAGACAGGGCCTTAACAGGGAAGTGGAGCTAGCTGAGGAGCAGGTGGGAGCAGACGCTCTCTCCCAAGGGCCCTCAGACTGCAGTGCTTTAGGTGACCACAAAACAGCATCAGGAGCCGTCCCTAAGGCCATGGGGTAGACAGTGAGCACCATGCTCAGGTGCTGGGGCTCTCCGGGACGGTCCCAGCCCCTTCTGTGCTCAGGCCCTGTGGACGTGCCACGCTGGGTCTGCAGGTTGACTACCTCAGGACCCGCTAGCCCGCGATGGCCTCCCGAGGATTTACGTTTCCACCTGGGCAGCAGTATCCAGTGATGGAGGAAAGGGGGCCACTTACTGAAAGGGGCGACATGAGCTCCTCAAAGCCTGGGCTTTGGCTCCTCTTGTTAAACAAAAGGCGGGGGCACATCTCTGCAACCCCAGCACTCTGGGAGGACGAGGGAGGAAGGCGGCAGGTGCCACCCCTTCTGCACAACTTAGTAATTTAATGAGGCTGTCTCAAAACTTAAATAAAAAGGGCCGGGGATGTGGCTCACTGGTTCCAGCACTTGCCTTGAAAGTGCAAGGTCCCGAGTTCGATCTCCAGTACCAAAGAAAAAGAAAAACATAAATTAAAAATAAATGGGGGCTGGGGATTTAGCTCAGTGGTTTTGCCGCCTGCTGCGCAAGCACAAGGACCCGAGTTTGATTTCCGGTACCAACCAAACCCCCCCCCGCCCCCAAATGGGCTGGGGATGGAACCCAATGCTAAGGCCCTGGTTCAATTCTCAGGACCACACACACACACAAGTTCATACTCTCATTTTCTTTGAATTTCAAAGCAAATCCTATACCCAAATCAAAGAACAACAACAGTGTCTGATATCCTCTTTCCAAAATAAGTATGTTCATGGGAAATATGATTTTCATTGTGTTGAATGGATTTTTTTTTTTCTTTTGGTACTGGGGATTGAACTCGGGACCTTGCGCTTGTGAGGCAGGTGGCAGAACCACTGAGCAAATTAAATCCCCGGCCCTCGAATGGATTTTAAAAATGAGTCACATAAGGCTTTTTAATCACTCAGAAGGAAACAGAGGGTGTCAGCCCAGAAGGGTATACCAAGCAGCCCGTGCTGGCTGTAGGTCTCAGTGTCCGTGGCCCTGAGACTTCCCAGGGATGTCTCCTGCTCTGGTGCTGCCAGCGAGGCTTAGCACGGGACGGGCCCTCACCTGACCGAGTCTGTCTGCTTTATTTCCCAGCACCACGGCAGGGCATCAGGTTTATAGTGAAGGTGGAAGTCACACTGTCCCAGGGACCTGTGCCCAGTGTCATGTGTGTGTTCTGCCCTTGCCAGGACTGCTGGTCAACCTGTCCCTCATCCCGGTCATGGGAGGGCTGGCGCTGTGCACCGCCACTGAGATCAGCTTCAACATCCTGGGCTTTTCGGCCGCACTGTCCACCAACATCATGGACTGGTGAGTGTGGGCCTCGGTGCCTGATGGGGGATGTGGGGTGGGGCCAGGAGGCTGCGCCTGCACCCTCACCTGGATTCCGGACATTTGAGTCCAGACACACTCAGGCCCGTGACTTCCAGTGCCGTCTTTTCCTAAATCAGTGAACTGCCCACACCAGCTCCCATGTGCAACCTCTTCTTTTTGAAGTTTGCAGAACGTCTTCTCTAAGAAGCTGCTCAGCGGGGACAAGTACCGGTTCTCGTGAGTAGTGCCAGCCAGCGGCCCCGCCTCCCAGCCCTAGGGGTTCGCCCGATGCCGCACTGGGCCTGGCGCCTCTCCTGTGTCCCTCAGCTCATTGCTCAGCTTCATGGGAGCTGCACACTCCTGAGGTGCTCTCAGGCCCGAGACACTGGCCTGGCGCCCCCCTTTCTTTCTGATTGGCCATGTGTCCTGGTGTGTGAGGCCCACACCCCTGTCCCTAGGTGTGTGAGGCCCGCTCCCCTGTCCCCGCAGGGCCCCAGAGCTGCAGTTTTACACAAGTGCGGCCGCGGTGGTGATGCTCATCCCTGCCTGGATCTTCTTCATGGTAGGTCTCCGGTTGGTTCCACCACACCTGGCCTTGCAGGAGCAGAATGGTTAACGTTGTTTCATTTTGGTACCGGAGATCAAAATCAGGTCCTTGTGCTTGCACACCAGGTGGCAAAACCACTGAGCTCAATCCCCGGCCCTGAATGGTTCTTTGCCTGCTTGGTGGTGGGTGTCCACTGGGACACCAGAGGGAGGGCACCACAGAGGGGCTCTTGGGTGTGGCTGTGCCTAGGGCCTCACGGGCCTGCACTGCTTCCTTCCTTTCTTTCTCTCTTTCTTTTCTTTCTTTCTTTCTCTTTCTTTTCTTTCTCTCTTTCTCTCTCTCTTTCCTTTGACAGGGTCCTGGGCTGAAGATTTAGCTCAGTGGCAGCGTGCCTGTCTCGAAAGCACAAGGTCCTGAGTTTGATCCCTGGTACCAAAAAATAAAAAAAGACAGGGTCTCAATGTACTAGGGTCTCTGTGTAGTTCAGGCTGGCCTTGAAGTGACTATGGAGCCCACGCCGGACTTGAACTTGCAAAGTCCTGCGGCAACCCTCCTGTCTCAGCTCCCAGGTGCTGGGATCACGTGTGTACCACCACACCCAGACTGCTGAGATTTTTTTGTGTGGGTTTTTAGGTTTGCATGATTGATGTTTTCACTGGGAAAACACCTTGGGCATCCTGTGAAGGTGGTGGTGTCATATGCGACTGAGCAGCCACATGGCTGCTGTCCCTCTGCTCGTGGTTCACGCATGGTGTGCACTGTGCCCAACACTGCGATGCGGGGCTGGCCACTGGGGGCAGCTCTTGCGTCTCAGCTGCACATGAGGATGGCACTGCTCACGTGTGCACACCTCACAGTGAGTGTGTCTCTCTGGGGTGCTTTCCGGAACTGGGACAGTGGACTGGAAGAACCTGCATATGGATTTTTTGTGGTTAAATACATATAACATTCATAATATACATAGTAAAATTGACTCTTTTTTTCTTTTTGTGGAACTGGAAGTTTAATGTGCAGCCTTCATACTGAGCTACATCCTCAGCTTTTATTTTCATTTTCTGTTTTGAGAAAGCATCCCACCAAGTCACTAAATTTTCCAGGCAGGACTCGAGCTCAGGATCCTTCTGCCCCAGTCTCCCAGAGTACTGGGATTGCATGTGTGAAAATTTTTGCCTTTTTGTAGCTAAGCAAGGAGGTGCATGCCTATAATCCCAGCACTAGGAAGGCCAAGGCAAGAGGATTGCCATGAGTTTGAGGGCAGTCTGGGCTACATAGTGAGTTCAAAAAATGAAAGAAAAGAAAAGAAAATTTGCTGGGTGTTTTTTTTTTTTGAGGTACCACAGATTGAATCCAGGTGTGTTGTACAACTGAGCTCCATCCTCAGCCTTTTCATGTTTTGAGACAGGGTCTCACTAAGTTGCCCAGTTTAGCTTTTTTTTTTTGTGGTACCCGGGATCGAACTCAGGTCCTTGTGCTTGCACAGCAGGTGGCTAAACCACTGAGCTAAATCTCCGGCCCCCATTTTAGCTTTGAAGTAGTGACCCTTCTACCTCAGCCTCCTAAATAGCTGAAGTTGCTGGTGTGTGCCACCATGCCTGCAGCATCTTAAGTGTTTGTGGGTGGACAGCTTAGTGGCATCAAGTACACACACACCGTGTGCCCTCACCCACCCCTGGACTGTTTTCTTTGTTCCAGAGAGACACTCTGTCCCCATTCAGCACTCCACAGTCACTTCCCTCAGCCCCCAGCACCCTGTGTCCTACTTTTTGTCTCCTGGGACATCGAGTGAGTGGGTTTGTGTCTTCGTGTCAGGGTTAGCTGGTTTTTGGAGACAGAGTCTCACTGTGTAGCCCAGCCTGGGCCTGAACTTGCAGTCCTGCTGTCTCAGCCTCTTAAGTGTGGGGTTAGAGGCCTGTGCCTCCACGGCTGGCTGGCTCAGTGCTGTCCTGGTGGGAAGTGGAGCGTCACTGTGAATTTTATCCATGCTTCCCCACCACCCAGGTCAGGGCTCCATAGCTCTCGACATCTGCGTGTGCAGGTGGAAAGTCCTGACGAAACCAGGGGTGGTAGGGCACACCTGTAACCCAGCACTTGGGAGGCTGAGGATCGCCCTGAGTTGGAGGCCAGCCTGGGCTGCATAGCAAGACCCTGTCTCAAAAACATGAGAAAGAAAGTCCTGGCGAGGGGGGTCCAGCTGCCGCCCAGCAGGTTGCAGAATGTCTTCTTCGACCCTGCACCAGTGACAGGCGTCATCTCAAGGTGGCTGTGGCTGAGGTGAGGCCGCAGAGCACCCCTCTGTTCTGGCTGCAGGATGTACCTGTGATCGGCAGGAGCGGGAGGAGCTTCCACTACAGCCAGGATGTGGTGCTGCTGCTACTGACAGATGGTGCCCTGTTCCACCTGCAGAGTGTCACCGCATATGCCCTCATGGGCAAGATCTCCCCTGTGACCTTCAGGTGCATGGGCTTGGGAGCCTGGTGGTGGGTGGTTTCTGGGAAACCTGGCTTCTCCTCCACAGTTAGGAGCGGTCACACACGAGGCTCAGGCTGTGGGCTACCAGGACTGTGAGGTTCCAAGGAGCTTCTCCTCAGAGTCTGTTGGTCAGTGCTGTCCGTGTGCTGGCATCCAGTGCGGTGGCCGGAGCACTTGGGCTGTGGGCAGTGCACCAGGAGGGGACCTCTCACCTTCTGGAGTTTGCTGTTCGAGCTGGATGCAGCGAGGCTGGGGTCCCCTCTGGCCGCTGGGGGAGCTGGGCAGCCCCAGCCTGCTCTCACTTCCCTAACTGGGCAGATGTGATGGGCGTGCAGCTTGAGAGAGCAGACAGAAGGGAAGGAGCTCTCGTCTCCGGTGCCAGCCCCAGCAGTGGGGGCCAACACATCATGTTGTTGCCCAACTCCGTGGTCTTGTCTCTTACTTCTGAATGGCCCGGGGGAGTTGGCCTGGTCCCCGACTATGAAAGCAGAAGCATATGTGACCAAGTAGTGCCTGTGGTGGGCCATGCTCAGGTCTCTCTCCTGCTTCTTTGTTTGGTACTCTTGGTTTTTTTGAGACAGGGTCTCACTAGGTACTTCAGGCTGGCCTTGAACTCAGTATGTAGCCCAGGTTGGGCCTGAGGTCATGGTGATCCTCCTGCCTCAGCCTCCCCAGTGGTGAGCTCACAGGTGTGCACCACTATGCTTGCCCTCTCTCGCTTCTGCTTTTCATTGGGTCCAGGTCAGTGCAGCAAATTCTCACCTATTCCGTCAAGCTCTCCTAGAGACAAGGTCTCACTGTACAATCCAGGCTGGTCTCCAACTCAGGACCCTCCTGCCTCAGCCTGCCCACTGCTAGGATTATGGGTGTGGGCCATACCACCTGCCACTAAGCCCTGTAACTGTTCAGCCCAGCAGGTGAATGAATGACTGCAGTCTTCCCTCAGGGCCCAGGCCCAGGGTTCCGGGACTCAAGACCAAGACCAAAGCCCACACTGAAGCTCTGCGCACTCGGGGCAGGGCACAGAACCAAACACATTCCCGCTGGCCACAGTCACTGCTGGGTTACTCAGAGCTCTTCCCACACTGCATTGCTAGAAAGTCTGTGTCCAGTATCCACATGATATTTATTTTCTAGTCCTGAGGATTGAACCCAGGACCTTTGCACTGAGCTGCATCCCCAGGCCTTTTTTATTTTTTATTTTCAGACAGGGTCTTGCAAAGTTATTAAGTTGCCCAGGGTAGGCTGGAACTTGTGATCCTCCTGCCTCAGCCTCCCAGGATGCTGGGATGACAGACATGGGCCACCACATCAGACTAGGTGTGTTTTTTCCTAGGGACTTTTCACTTTTGGAGAGGAGGCTTAAGTATTTAGGGACAGAATGTTACACTGCGTATACTTTAGCGGTTCAATCCAAAGAATGAAACACTGTAGCGGGCTGGCCATCGTGGGGAAAAGGGCTGTGGGCTTCAGGGTTTCCATAACAAAAAGCATCCTTGGAGAACCAAGATCCGGAGCCCACCCCTGCAGCTCCCCCCCAGTCCCCTGATGAGTCCCACGCATGTGGTCACGGTGTCCCCTGCCCTGTCTGCAGTGTTGCCAGCACTGTGAAGCACGCCTTGTCCGTCTGGCTCAGCATCATCGTTTTTGGCAACAAGATCACCAGCCTGTCTGCTATTGGCACTGTCCTGGTGACAGTGGGTGTCCTGCTCTACAACAAGGCCCGGCAACACCAGCAGGAGGCCATGCAGAGCCTGGCCATGGCCACCAGCTGGGCCCCGGAGGATGCTGCTGAGCCACTGCTTCCCCAGGACCCCAGGCAGCACCACTGACCCAGCCCCTGCACTCACTGTGGGGCAGACATGTGGGCGTCTCATGAGTGGCCACCAACTGTGAGCACTGCAGGAGGGAGCACCCAGCTCACTCTCTGGACTGCGGGCGGCTGGGACTTGATGCCTGTGGGTGACCACTGGGCTCAGTGCCAACACGGGTTGCTCCCTACTGGGTGCCAGCAAGGAGACCCCCGATTCGTCATGCCAGCTACCAGAAGCGTCCACTCCTCCCAGGCCACAGCCGAGCCTGGAGGCCGGCACAGGGTCCACCTGCGGGAGCCAGGGAGCAACGCAGCCTACCTGGGAACTAGGATCGCTCCTGCCCCACAGGGTCCCCGAGAGCCGCACCACATGGGACACTGGCGGGGAGGGTGTGACATCGTTCCAGGAGGGCAGCCCCACGGCTCCCTCCCCGCCTGTGTTGATTGGAGCCCCAGCACCTGCGGCCTGTCCCTCCCCAGATGGGAAGTCCTGCCGAGTGGGTGATGACAGCGTCATCTCTGCCATTCCTCCCATGTGGGACGCTGTGGGGGAGCTAGGGTCCCCTTGGGGCCAACCTTTCTGCTGAGACCTCACAGAGAGCTTGTCTGGCTATCTTGCGGGTGAGAGCTTGAAAGTTGTTCATTTGTTTGAGACACGGTCTTGCTATGCAGTTCAGGCTGCCCTTGAACTCATGATGATCCTCCTGCGTCAGCGTCCTGAGTGCTGGGATCACAGGCGTGAGCCAGCACACCTGGCAGGACACTGAAAGTGACACTGCGTTTCAATGAAGCGAGCACCTATACAAAAGGTCTCTGAGCATTCTGTGTGGCAGGTGAACCCAGTCTGCCATCCCCACACCAGGGACCTGGACACTGCTGGCAACGCCGCCCACTCCCAGGGCCCAGGCAGCCTGGGGAAGGGGCGCTGAGCGGGCTGGTGCATAGGCCGTGTGCCAGGCTGCGGCGTCCTTGCCCCTCCTGTCGCTGTCCCCCAGCTGTCTCTGACCCTTCTCCGTGACACCTGTGAGCCACAGCCCTGGCGCTCATCGGCCTGCGTCTCATTTCCTGGCCCCATTCGCTAGCTCTGTGGCAGCCATAGTTGGCTCGCTGGTTTTCCAGTTGGCTTCTCACCTGGAAAATACAAAATAGTCCGTCCTGCAGATAAAATCTCTCTGAAACAAAGAGCAATAAGTACCTCTCGTTAAGTTTTACCTACTTGAAAAATCGTGCCACGCCAATGGAATGAGACAAGGCCTCTGAGCCAGCAGCTGCCGTGGAAGGACACGGGCCTGCTGTGTGCCTGCGGTGTGCAGGTACAGCCACCCGCACTGGGGAGGCCTTGTCTCGCGTGACTTGGCCCAGTTTTCTTTTCCTTCCTCTCTGCTCCCCTGGAACTAAAGAAAATGCAGGGAGGTGGTCAGGCCGGCGGGGTCCCTGTCCTCTATTGCGAGTGTGGTTACTGCACTGCTGGTGGAGGTGAAGAGAGTGGGAAAGTGGTGGCTGCTCAAAGGGGCCTCTGCCCCTGGCCCCGCAAGCCTGGCTGTGTGGGCTTCCGGGTATTCTGCAGGTCTCTGCCTCTGTGTGGAACAGGAAGCAGCCCATTGTGACGTGCCCGGCCTCCACCTCACAAGTGGCTCGAAGCCTGTTTTGATTTTCTAAATGTGTGGGTCAGAAACGGAAAACAGAGATTTTCCACCATGATTAACAAGTGAGGTAATTTCCCACAAAGCTGCCTTTGAGCCTTTCCCTGTCCTGGGCAGGCAGACCAGGGGCCTGTACGTGGCCCAGCCTGCATTTCGTCCCTTTGGCCTCAGCACAGCTCAGATGCGGCCTGAGTCCCAGCAGTGGTCTGCATGTTCCTAGGACAGCTGCAAACCTGTGGCCAGGCCTGGTCGTCCACTTATGACTGTGCAGATGCAATATTTTCTATTAACTTTGTGTACTCCTTTTATAGCACTGTCCTCAGCAAGCCGTTACAGATGTTCGTGTAGAAATGCTGATGCTGGCTGGCGTTTCTTTTTTTTTTTTTTTTTTGGTACCGGGGATTGAACTCGGGTCCTTGCGCTTGCACAGCAGGTGGCAAAACCACTGAGCTAAATCCCCGGCCCCTGGGTGTCGTTTCTTACATTGGGTTGATTCCTCCTGCATCCATGTCGTTGTCTGGACCTTGTACACAGCTCACTTGAAAGACTCCCTGAGTTGGAGCATCTGCTTCCTTATCCCAGGCTTGGAGATGAACAGACTTTGAATTTCAGAAGACTTCCCGGGACTGGTAGTGTAGCACAGTGGTGGAGCACGTGCCTCGAATCCCAACCCCAGGTTCCACCCCCAGTACTGAAAACAAAAACCTTCTACTACTGAACAGCATAAAAAGCTTTTAAAAAACCTGATAGTCATAATTTCCTGTGTATCAGCATTAAAATCATCTGCCTGCCTGGAACATTGAGAATTCTCTTGCACAATCCAAAATGTGTCTTTCATTTGAGAAAGTAAACACAATGAATCAGAGACAACTTTTTTACAAAGCTATACAAAGAATGTCAACCAACTAGCACTCTGCTTTATAGCATATCTTTAAGATATTTGCCACAAAATTGGGGGCTTTACCTTCCTGCTTCTCTGATGGGCACATACATGGGCCAGTGTGGAGAGCAGACACACAACACAGCTTTCTGCATCTGTCCGAGTGACATTCTTCTAAGGCCTGGAAGTATTTGGACCGTTTCCCTGGGTGGGGAAAAAAATTAACAAGGATGTTACAGACAGAAATCCTCTCTATTTTGTCTTTGACCAACTTTTTTTTTTTTTGTACCAGGGATCAAACTCAGGACCTTGGACTTTTGAGGCAGGCGGTGGCACCACTGAGCTAAATCTCTGGCCCAAACCAACATTCTGTTCGAGGCTTTGGTCTTACAATACACGTGGCTTGGTAGGGGCCTCCTCAATTTTTTTTCTTCTTCTTTTTTGTGGTGCTAGGGACCAAACCCAGTGCCTCATACATGCTAGGTAAGCACTCTACCACTGGCTACACTACCGGCACTTTTTTTTTTTTTTGTACCGGGGATTGAACTCCGGACCTTGCGCTGGCGAGGCAGGCGCCGGAACCACTGAGCTAAATCCCCAGCCTGGCACTTTTTTTCCTTCAGTACCAAGGATTGAACCCAAGCTTAGCTCATTCCCAGCAAGGGATGGGTGCTTGCTAAATTACCCAAGTGGGACTCAAACTTGCAATCTTCCTGCTTCAGCCTCCCTCAGTGCTATGATTATAAGGTTGTGCCACCACTCCTGGCTTGCTGGCATATTTTCTTACTTTATAAATACCAACGTACCAGCTCCCCTAATGAATTAGGCTGGATCTCTCCTAGACAAGGAGCAAAGAGCAGATGGCTGAGGTCCTGCTGACCAAGGGTTGGCTGTTCCCCTTGAAGCTCAGAGTGGGGAAACTAACTTTGCAGGCTCTGAAGTATTTCATCTGGGCTTTCTGGGCTGTGATTCTGAATTTGCTGTTGGACTCTTGCTCAGATGTCCAAATTCAGTTCGAAAGTATTCCAACTAGCCAAGTCATATTTGTCCTTTTGTTTTTAGTTTTCATTTTGGGGGGTTTTTTGTGTGTTTTTGTTTGGTACCGGGGATCGAACTCTGGTCCTTGTACTTGTGCAGCAGGCGGCAAAACCACTGAGCTAAATCCTCGGCCCTAGTTTTCATCTTTTGAAAAATGCATTCCATTCATTTGCAATTTCTGGGCTGTTTGCTGATAGATTTGTGAGTCTGCACCTGCCCAAGATGTTTGTAGATGCCACTTCTAGAGGGCTACAGACGTGGTTGCATTCCTGCATTGGGAAACTTGAAAGTCGTATCGATAAATCTACATCAGAGCCAAATCATATTTGCTTTATACCAAACCTGTGGAGAACTAAAAATATGTCACACAAAATATTTGTAGTGTTTTCTGTCACCTGTTTCAGTATTGACATAAGTAGATTAATGCTTCCTAAAAAATGGTTCATTAAATAATTTAGTGAGCTTCTGTTATTTGTACTGTGGTAATAAATTTCTGCTGTCATTAATCCCATCTATGCCTCCTGGTTATTTCTGTCTAAATTAAGCAGCCATAGTAGCAATTGTCAATGGCTGTTATTCTGCAAAGGTGAAGTAAATGTTATACATGTACTAATTTGTTTTTGTTTTTCGTGTAACTCTTGCATTTGTAGTACTGAAATGACCACGGTGGATTTCTTATGCCTTCACAGTTTCCATCGTGAAAGGGGTGAAAAATGAAAAAAAAAAAAAAAAAAA